TGACTTCACTATAATGAAACAACCACTTTTTCCTCTATCAAGAATCTTGGTATTATTAAGGTTGTATTACACCATTCGTTGCTAAATAAAGTTGAAACTGACAGTGACTAAAATACAATACGCAGTATAGACCTGTGGTTTGTCTTTCCTGAAAGTCTCTCCCAGGTCTTGTTGTATCAAAAACTCTGACCATCTTGTTGAAGCCACAGTAGATTTGACTGCCATCAAGGTTGAATGACACACAATTTGCTGAAACCACCTCATCCTGGCAGAAAAAAATTAAAATTATAAAAACATAACCTTTTATTCCTCTCAATAAAAATCCCAAGGGAGAAAGAAATTATAGATTTTATTAAATCAATTTTTTCTCACAAAATTATATGTTCAAGTACTATAAATTTTACAAAGGGGACAAAGAAATCTGTACAGTAAAAATATTTCAGTAGCTACAGATTTTTAAGTATCCATCATTTTTATGAAACTCACCAACAATTATTAAGTTAAGTGTTAGTGAATCATTACTACCAATAGATATTGCTGGCCAACACTGTGTTAAAACTGCACTCAAATTAACTAGAAAGCAGCTATTTCAGGCTAACAGAGCAAATAGGGTAATTTAGCATCGTCAACTGAGTTGATAACATAAATTGGCCACTATGAAGAGTTTCAAAGCTGACATTTCCAGCATAAGCTTTCAAACTCTTTACGGTGGCCAATTTACATTTTATCAACTCATTAAATTACCCCATCATACTCTCCCACCAATGCAGCACTACTGACAGTTTCTTTAGAAACTTACCCCCTTTATTCATTTAATAGAGCAAATAGTTATTAACGTGAACTATCATTTACCAAGTGATTGTAAGTTCTGTAGGTGCATCTTATTGCTCCTGTAAAAGCATCCCACATGTGGAGAGGATGGTCACGGCTGCTGCTCAGGAAACTGTGATGACATAATGATCAAGATCGAATTTATTCAGAGCTGGAAACCTGAGTTTTATGTTTACATAAAATCAAGACTAAAGGCTATATCTGGCGACTGTCTTATCTTAGGAAGGACACTGTAGACCCCCAAGATCATAAACTTTGGTCCCAAAATAGCTTGTGACAGCTGATTGACTTGCTAAAGACTCAGCAGAAATGGTGAGCTATCCAAGCCTTAACTGAGTGAAATCTTTAGAAAAATATGTTTTTAACTAAAAAGTAAAATAAACTCACAAATAACATCAGAGAAAATAGTCCATGTGGATTTGCCACACTTCCAGTTGTTAACATTGTGAATAGAAATCTCGGATCATTATCAGTATCTGGGTAATTGCCCACCTACCCCTCCCCTAACCCAACATTAACCCCTGACTGTTGTTGGGTTAGGGGAGGGGTAAGTGGGCAGTTGCCAAGATACTGATATTGATCTGAAATCTCATGCCTTTGACTCAAAAAAGTTAGCCAGTATATCCTAGGCATTTCGTTCACTCGAATAGGGTGGATGAATTTTATAGACCATACATCTTGAGGTACACCTTATGAGGGTCTCAGATCCATCTATGAAAAATTTCAATCTGACTGTGCACCTCAACCCACCCTCACAAAGCATTACCTCTCACACATGCAAAGAAAGGTACATAATCATAACAATTCCAATTATGAAGGACACAAATTAATTAAGAGAATAACCACAGACATTTTTCCCTGTAAGGAACAAGGTTCCCTATCATTCATTCTGACTCATACTTATGTCATGCTTTCTAGGTGTAAAGTATTTAGGATCTAAGAATCTTTCAAGTGATGAGAATCATACCAGCAAGTGTCAGGATCAAGAGATGACATAAATGGATACCAACAGTAGTCATAAACTGTCTCTCCCTCCTGCATCTGTAACACTGATACCTTAAAGAAAAACAAGAATGTTAAGTGGCTATGTTTTCATTGTTAAACAATAATTATTGTGATTAATTTCCAAAGTTTTATTAAAGGTATAGAGCAAAGCAGTTAATACACAATGATTTTTTGACCACCACTACTAAAAATACTTTTCCTAGAAAGGGATTTATTCATTAAAAATCAAAAAAATATATGTATGTATGTATATTCTGGCTGTGGAAAAGTAAGTATCAGTTGTTTCATTGTTGAGAACAACTTGTATTCATAGTAATAAATAAAAAAATATATGTATGTAATATGTATATTTTGGCTGTGGAAAAGTAAGTGTGAGTTGTGTCATTGTTGAGAACAACTTGTATCCATATAAAGACAAAAATAACATATTATTAAATACCATTTCTGATAAACCTTGCACAGCATTCCCACTGTACAATTCTGTAGGAAGGTTAAATATCCTGAGGGTGTTGTCATCACTGTTTGTCAGTAAACATGCACCATCAGGAGACCTTAGATAAGAACACAAATTAAAATGAAAATAAGACCACAATAAATTAGGGAGATATATGTAATGGCTGAATAATTATCATAAAAAGACATAGACTCAGGATCACTGGGTGCAGGCTGGAGTTCTGTTCCAACCAAATTTCTACAACTCCCTTGAGTGCACTCTTCATTCCACCCTCTTTTCCAGAGAGGAGCACAAGCTCATTTGCCACATAGCAGCTGTTGATCAAACTCAACCCTAACCTAATCACAGCATCGTGTTTTTAGATGATAAATTTTAATCTCAAAATGCCTCTCTCTACCTAAAAGTATATTAATTAGATATCAGCAAACTGCTAAAAAAAAAAACTGCATGACAGACTAAAGGGTTACCAATCTAATTTGTGATAGGACAATTTAGTATTATCAGCTGAGTTGATAACATACATTGGCCACTGTAACAAGTTTCAAAGTGGATGTTTTAAGTATCAGCCCTACATCAGAGTGAATGGAGGAATTGTGGGTTATGTGTGTATTTATATTTTCTGTGTATAAACACACACAACCAACAATTCCTCTATTCACTCTGATGAAGAGCTGAAGTTTGAAACATCAGCTTTGAAACTCTTTATGGTGGTCAATTTCCATTATCACCTCAGTTAAAAATACTAAATTACCTTGTTATACTCTCACACCGATGCAGCACCACAGTTTGCTTAGCAAATCCCCCCCCCCCTTTACTAATATGTGATAGACTGGTATCCACACTAAGGACAACAAGATACACTTCAGACTGACAGCTATACCAGCTACTAATTGCTTCAAAGATTAAATAATTTAGAGTATATCATTCAGTTTTATTCAAGAATCATACAACACATCCATATAGGACTTAGAATGTCCTAGAACAGTTGAGGAGCACTGTCTGTATATCACACCATTAGAATGGAATTCCCCTCCCCTAGACTATGCTTACCATTTGCAACCCTTGAGAAAGTTTGAAGCCAAGCTACTGAAGTCTTCCCAAGCTCCTGTTACTTGTTGTGGTACAATATTAAAGTTATAATGAACTGCAAAGAACCTGAAGGAAAAAATTTTCTAAAATCAGGTAAAGCCAAGCTACAACTAGTTGCAAATGAAAAATGTTGACACACCTTGAAGAAAAAGTGCATTTACCAACTTTTCCAGATGGTCAGTAACAAATCTAGTGCAACAAAAAAAAACTAAAAGCTGCCCCTTACCCAATACAATGTTGTTCATTGAAGTTTTTTACGGGGTACTGCTTTAATAGCCACCGACAATGCCAAGGGGGGAAATGGGGGGATACCTTATGCTGGATCAAACAGTGATCAATTATCTCTTGTTGTGGTAACATGTCTCATCTACTTTTGTTATTCATTGTAGCTCTATTAAAGGAAAGGAACTGACTCATCATTTCTTGTTATTCATTAATGAAGGGTATAATCTAGGAGAAACATGGTGGTCGCCATGCTAAAGTGTGGATCAAAACATCTCTCTTTGAGCCTTTCTCTGTTGAAGACCATAAATGCAATGGAGGATTGGGAGGGGAAGGGTTCAGTCTTTCTCCCTCTCACCCCTATCCCATTGGAACTGTGGGTTTTTTTTCTTTTTATTATTTGTCCGAATCCAGAATTCTTACATATTACTACTCGTAAGGGGGTACTTTATCAAAGTTTAGCCCCCCCCCCCTTTCAAGTATGCCCAGATCTACCCCTGTAGATGGGCATTGGGAAACCTTCAGGGATTCATGATAAATTGCAAGAAGAGGAGGGGGGGTGGGTGGTGGGAAAGTTACCTGCTATTGAATAGCATACCACACTTGAAGAGTAGCACTCCTCCTCATCACTTCATGTCACACAGAGCAAAACAGAATACGAGATATGACATGGCTATCAACCAATCAAAGTGCTCTCTGTAGCCAGGACTGATTGATGCAGTACACAAGACTGGTAAATAAGTGACAAATAAAACATTTGGTACCTGTGAGTGTCATCTGATTCCATTCCTTCTATAGTGTCATCGGCTTCCTCGCCGCTACTTTTTGGTTTTGAATCATTAACACCTTCCTTTTCTTCTTGATGAAAATAGTTCTCGCGGATCTCGTCCATTTCTTCCTGATCTTGAGACGTTTGTTCTTGAGTGCTCCTACTATTAAGCTCGCAAACATAATTAGAGCCCTCTTTCTGAACACTCAATTTTGAGTTTAACAAGTTTTTATCACATGTTTTATCTTGATCATATTCATTTCGACTAACATCGTGCTCAAAATCCATAGAAATCTGATGTTCCGTAAGAACTTTGATCTTCTGTGTGACATCATTGTTCTCGACTACACTACTTGTTGCCTCCTCTATTAATATCGCCTCTTCATTTTCTGGATCAGATGTAGTGTTTTGAGAAAGAATCGAACAGTCTTTCACATTTTCAACTTTACAGGCTTCAGGTGGCTCACCTGCATCAGTAACATGAGCAACAACAGACATCACTTTTCCTTACAACGGCGCTTGCTAGTAATTGAAAAACTTTGCGCGATCACCTCGCTTGACAAGGCCGCCATGATGACCGTGAGAATCTGGGAGAAACACTTCTAAACTATTAAGGATATTACATGTCCATTACGTGAAGTATTGTTTTCAGCGAAACAATCCAAGATGGAGTATCTTCCGGAAGAAGTGTTGCTTTTGATATTTCAAAACATTGAACCATTGGAGCTTATTTCTTTGTCAAGAGTGAACCGCCGCTGGCGTAAACTTGCAATAATCCCTCAACTTCACAGGTTATTTAACGCTAACGAAGTAGCTCGAGAGGACCAAAACTCCTCATAATTAATAAACTAACTTTTACTTCTATTACAGCAGTAAGTTCAATTTTGTGCGCATCTTTTGTTTCAGGTGCGTCAACTTTCATGGGAAGCAACATCTATCCTCCGGTTTCATCTGCAACTACATCAGCAAGTTCAAACACTCACTACAAGAGCTGAATCTACAAGAATGCTATTGGATTAAAGGAGCTCTTCTTTCCAGTACACTGCAAAAGTGCCGAAAATTAACATCTCTCAACTTACTTGGTTGTAGTGTTACCAAAAAAACACTTGGTTCTCTTTTAAAACTCAATACTAACCTTAAAACGCTTGCATGGTCTATGAATGAAAAGGATTTACCCATAGGCTCTCATTTGGAGGGATATACCTTAGGGGTATTCCATGGATTATTGCTCTCTTTCTGCAGTGGACTTTCAGAAGCTTTTAAAGGTTTGGATAGTCTGACAATCCGGCTTCCAAACATTTATGTGACCGCCCTCATTGTGAATCAGGGAATTCCGATTATTTGCAGTGAACTTCATTTAAAGGCATTTACCTTGCAGTGGATTGATGCATCAGGTAGTTACAGGTCCCATTGTCCCAAACTTTCCATTGAAGGAAGTGAAATCCAGTTTTGCAGAAGAGAGACAAAAATTGATTTTGCAGGTCTCAGTGTTATTGGAGAAGCAAGGAAGTCAATCAATCATGGGTTGGAAAGTGAAACTCTCCATACATTTATTGTACCCTCCAGTTTTCAATTTCTTGACAGAAACCGTGACATTTGTGAAAAATTTATGAAAACTGTGGGAAACAGATCATCTATTGTCAACTTGAAGTTGGGGGCCTTGGCTTTAAACAAATATGATGTAGATTGTCTTATGGCAATTCTTAGTATGCAGTGGCAGGCACTGGTGTATTTGAATCTTTCTGGTTTTGTCATTTCTGGCCATTTTCTTCAAGTCATTGCAACTTCTTCACCAAACTTGGAGATTCTCAACTTACAAAATTGCTCAGATTGCTTCACACAAGTGAGTCTGTTTTCTCTTTAACCCTTTAACTGCCAGAAGTGATTAAAATGTAACTTCTCCCTATAATATTAATACATTATCTAGCAAACAGGTAAAGGGAATACTCAAACTTATCAGGTAGAAGTTTATATCTTAATCTAACAGCCAATTCTTCCAACTAATTTGCAAGGAGATGTGTAGCAGCCAAAAGGGAGAGTTAACAATTATATCTTGGGATTTAAAGGATTTAATTTAACTCCCAAGATCCAATTGTTTATCTCCCCTCTAGCTGTCACACATTTCCTTGTATGAAAGGATATGAGAATTTGATGTGAGATCAAGATGATAACTTCTACCCAACAAGTTTATTAGTACTCTCATTACTTATTTGCTAATAATGTATGAATTTTGTACAAGAAAGTAACATGGTAATCACTTCTAGGAGTTCAGGGAAAAATTTGATTTTCTTAATCATTTAACTCTCATCACAGATACATTTTTGAGGAGGTGAGGTGTTAATGCTGCTTCTATTGTCATTTTTTGACAAATTGATATATTTTTATTGAAGATTCAAGGACTGGAATCACTGGCTTTATTGTGCCCAAAAATGGCTGAGTTGAACCTCAATGGAGTACATTATGATCAAACATTCCAGGAAGAATCAAACAGTTGCATCAAAGTCATCTCAAAATTCACCCATCTGGTTTCTCTCAGCCTCTGCACATGTGTGACACATCAAGTCTCAAGTGATGACACAGAAGGTGCAAAGACTAGTTCTAAAGAAAGTATACTCAAGGCAAACAGAAGAGTATGTCATGGACAGAATCTTAAAAACTCTCAGTCAAGCACTGACCCAGCCACCAAATTGCAGAACCATTTTGTTTTTCTTACCCAAGAATGCACTGGAATGACAGACTTTGAACTTTGGTTTCCCTCACGTCATGACAGAGAGCTTAGCTACCGTCCACCCTTGTACCAGTAAGTTACTGTTTATTTCAGAATCACACTGAGGCATGGTTAGAAAATGGAAAAGGCATACTTTGTGAGCACCATGTACAGAGCTCTTGACTCAATTGTTTTCATATTTACTTTTTGGCATTCCAAACATGAGCACCATTTCTTTTCCTATGATTATGCCTGCAAGGCAAACCCTGTCAGCTTGTCTAGTGATGGCAGGCTTTTGATAACATTAATCCTTACTATTACCATTTTTTTTCACCATCCAGACCAACATGTGATGCAAGAAGGGGTACATTTGATGGTCTCCTGCCAATTGCCAACTGGAAACACCTGCAAAGGCTTACTCTTTCAGGTTTGTTCCTCAGATAGGACTCAAATTAGGTGTAGCTCCTTAACTCCCAGGACTGATTAACATGCTAATCAGTTCTGGCATTTGCAAATTTTGAGGTTGATATTGTCAGTGATAAAAAGCAAATCGACAGTGGCATAGCATGGTCTGCACTCTTACTGACCATGATTTTTTTCATCACAGTGGTCAAAATGTTGCAGACTAACTTGGCTGTACCTTGTGATACCACAATATTTTGACCATTGTGATGATGAACATTGTTGTCCAAAAGAGCACAGACCACGCTTAGCCACTGTGGATTTGTTTTTTACCAGAATATCGTCGTCAAAATGTTTAAGTTATCCATGTTTGAGAGCTGATAAAGGCATTGCATGACACATTGATGTGAGCAGGGTTCTCTGCGCTCTTATCAACAATGGCAAACTGGCCAATCAGATAGAACCATTACCACCAATTGTGGTAATAAAAATAGATATTTTTCCATTATTCACAAACTTGGAATAAAATGATAATTGTTAATAGTGTATTCCCATGAAGTGATCTCAACAGTCTTCTTAGTGGAAACCTCTAAGAACTAATTTGTTTTGTTGCTCAATTTATGCATGTAAAGGTCACTGGTACATGAAGTGCCAAATAGTAAATGCATGAAAGTTTAGGACTTAACATTTACAGAGCTTTCAACTTTATTTCAATCTTCACCCAAAATTTATACTGTCTTAAAGCCTGGTTTTAATGTTAGTTGAAAAGGATTTGTCAAAAATCTATGTTAAAACCATGCTTAGAAAACATTAGGGCAGCACAAGGTTCTTAATCATGTTAAAGTAGGTTCATAATCATGTGAAATATCTAATGTGGTGTCTTTAGTAGACATCCTGAGGATAATTTTATTTCCAAATTTTCAAATGTAATATCACAAGTAAGCAAATCCTTAATTAAAGTGTAACCTGATCATTTAAGATTTTCAGTTAATAATACTATGATTTCAATTGCTACTTTTTAGTGCCATATACAAAAGGAAGTTTGAAATTCTTAGTTGCCATCGCACAGAACTGCAGCAATCTTCAATTTCTATCCCTTGCAAACCTTGAGAATCTCAGCCATTCAGGGAATGTAGCACTTCTGCAACAGGCACTTTCTTGTTGTCATCAACTTCGAGATTTCAGGTAAACTCTTATGTAAAAGTTTTACCACCGACAGGGAAATGTATCTATTGAAACAATTCTATTCAAGGATGGAGCATAAGATCATTGGGAGATATACAAGCATAAATTAACATGTCTTTGTCCAACTCTTGCCAGATTGCCTGATTGCCTGACAAAACAAGGGGATTTCCAGGCAAGCCATTTTAGGGGTTCAGGTTTTCAGTCCCTCCTTGTTCTTGTTTTTGGGGCAAGGGGCACTAAATCCTATTTCACCCTTTCCAGCCTAAAATCAGTATGCACATTCTCCATACTGTTCTCTTTACATTTGCTAAGGTGCTGACAAGGAGAATTCATTTAATAATCAAGAGCTTCTTTATGTGGTGATCATTTCCTTTATTCTCATGACCTTAATGGCTTAGCAGTGTTTAGAATTTCATGCTGATAATAGTTGGAAATCTTATTTTGTTTCCCAGATTTCAACAGAAAGCATTTAGGATCAATGAGTCATTCTTACTGTCACTTGGAGAATTAAAACATCTTCAACGAGTGTGCATTATTGCTAAAGGAGGCCCTTTGACAGTAGCTCCTAAAACAGTCATCTTATTGTTTGAAAAGGTGAATCAAAACAATGAAATTTTAGTTTAGTAGACTGACTCAACTTTTGCAAGGCTAGTTATCATGAAAGGCTTCTGTGCATCAATAGAAGCTAACATAGTAGCAATTAATAGATATTGACACAAATTAAAAGGTTGGTGTTGTTTATTTCTTGCAGTGCCAGAAACTGTATTATTTTCATTTATTCTGTGATATGACAAGAAAAGCCAGTAAAATCATTATGGATTCTGTAAAGAAAAGGCAAGTTCATTTATTGGGAATGTGTTTTTGAATGTTGCGCCCATGTAAGGTGACCAATGGTTTGATGCATATCGGTAGTGCATAGTAATGATTATAAAATGTTCAACTTTGTGACCTACTGGTAACTTCGCTGACATCCGTGGTCAGTACCTTGCCAACATCCACAATCATTTAGCTGACATACCCGGTCAACCCTCTTTTGTTAAGTTTTGGGCTTATTATTAAAGTGGTGTGTCTGAGAGTTAACCAAAGGTACATCTGCAAGTTGACTAATAGTGTTGGCAAATTGGTTGTTACGAGTTGATATGTCAGCGAAGTGACCAGTAATCGTAATAGAGAAAGTGTAGAGTGACTAAGGTATCTTTCCCTATCAAACTTTTTTTGCATTTGTTACAAATAAAATAATGATGTTTAAAATACACAGCATGATTTTTTTTTTCTGCAGATTTTCAGATACACGCCCGGCGCTGATCGTGGGTTTAGTTCCTTTTTACCCGACAGACCTGCACTTCAAGCTGTTAAATGAGAGCACTTCTATTCCCTTTTTGCATATCAGTGAAATGTTACTCGCCGAATCGTCAGTTGCAAGCAGTTTTAAAAAGAGACAAACATGAAATTATTGAACAAAATTCTCTTGTTTAGATTATTAGTCGCTGATCTTGAAAGCTGAGAGAACAGCTATGATGAAATAAGAGCGTTTCGGCGAGTTGTATAATCAAGGAAATAGCAATCTCCTTGTTGAGTTATAGCACTGTGGAAAAATAAAGGATCATAAAGAGATGATCAAGGTCGGTTTTTCTTAACGTAAACGTGCGTGATTGAGTCTTACTCAAGAGAAGGAAGCGTGAGGCGCGCGAGTGCATGGACGAAAACGAGCCAAAAAGGAAAAAAGAAAAGAAACGAAAACGCACAAAAAAGTGACCAGTGAGAATGGGGGTAGGGATGGAAAAGAGAAACGTACGTATGAGCCAAGCGATTTCACTGTCTACTGTTTGGAAATCCTTAGCAAGGAAATCAAAGTTTTGTTATTCGAGACTCCACGGGTGATTGTATTTAGCCTTTTTGGGCCCACAACCAAGCAGCGATGGTTAAATTGTTAAGTTTTTTACTTTCCAGTCCTTTGAAATAATCTGCCAAAGGGAGAAAAATGCTCCAAGACTAAGATTTGGAAACCGAAAAAAAAAGAAAAAGAGAATAGAAAAGATTAGCGCCCAACGTGGGGCTCGAACCCACGACCCTGAGATTAAGAGTCTCATGCTCTACCGACTGAGCTAGCCGGGCCACCACATGCCCTTTTAATGAAATTTTTACGTAATTATTACTTTGTAAAGGCATTGCTTGCTTCGGTCATGCGTAGTCGTCTTTTAGAACAAAGCACGTCGGGTCGATTCTCAACCACAATCCAACATGTAATGGCTGGGAAAAAATCAGAGACTGAGAAGAATCTGCCGTGGGGTTTGACCCCAGAAGGGTTAACCCCAGGATCTATGAAGGTAAGCTGAAATTTAACATCTGTTCTCTCGTTTTACTTAGCAATTGATTTGGAATTCAAGATATCGACGTTTCATCGTCAAAGTAACGCTTTGCAATGGATGTATTCCTTGCAGACAATTTCTGAGAGCAAGTTGAAGTCCTTCTCTGTTGGAATGATGAACGCTGGACTGAAGAAACCCGCTAGATCAAAGCTAGATACTGATGAGAAGAAAAAGGTCTCACTTAATTGTGATTTTGTACTGTAGAATATCCAAGATCGTAAGAAAGCAGAAAAATTGTCGGTACGATTTACTAGAGATTTAAGACGCTGCAACTGAAAGCCAGATTTTGCATGTATATTTTTAATGGAACTTGACATTTGAAGGATGTTTTAGAAATGAAGAGGCTATGTGTAAATTTTCATATGGTGCATAGTGTAAGATTTTACGACAAGATGTTTAAGGATATAAGAAGAGTTTGTTGATCAGGAATGGAAAGTGAGTGATTTTTAAAAAACCCTTGAAGGTAGCATTAGAAAGAGCTATATTGTCAACTCTGGTAATGTACGTATTTAATCGATCCAGTTGTTTTAATCTCCTTCAGGGGTAATGCTACATTTACCTGACTATTTGTTGTATTTGGCCTCTCCATATGTTTGGTTCAAATTTTCATTTGTTTGTTGAGCATGCTCCTGAGATGATTGTCTTTTTGGATGTTTTCCAATCTCAGCGGTGGGTAGCAAATCAAGCAAGTTGCATTTCTTGCAGCGTGCTTTATCAGACTATCAATCCTTTTCAAAAATTCAAGGAGACAGTTTGGTGACTTTCACAGGAATCATACAGGAATCATGTTTTGTTCACAAGGGTTTCTGAAAAGAGGGGAGGTTATATTAGATTGAAGGAAGCTGTAAATCATGTGTTGCAAGGGGATAGAGAAAAATCCATGTCCCTTTCTCGTGTTAATGTGTTATTTGGATGCTCTGATCTTCAGCTAACTTTTTGACAAATCAGTTGACCAATAAGACCATTTATTAGCAATATTCAGGACAAGTGTCCTGCTAACTGCCTGGATTAGCAATGTTAAAATAGCTCTTGTAATAGGAAAGTTTTAATTTCAGTTCTTGAATACTTTGTCAAAGTTATAATTGTCTCTGTTTTCAGAAAGCAGAATCAGAGTGTGCTGAAGTGTTTGCAGATTTTGTTGCTTCATTTGAAGATGCTCGGGTGGCTGGGAAGACTTTTGTGCGCGGCAATACAATCAACCCAGAAACAAAAGGTAAAATTTTTTCAAAACTGATTCATGTAGCTATTATTCCAAATAAAAAGTGGACTTATTTATCTGTCATTGTCCTCTACCTAAAGATAAATTTAAAAGAGTATTTCATAGACAGTTAAAAATATTTCAATGCAAGAGGATACTTTATACTTTAATCAATAAATTTATAAAATCATAATTGTTATTTTGTGTCTAATTTTATTCCAGTTATAATATGTAATATCTAATTGGCTACGCTATAATTCATGGTACTGTTTTTCTTGTTTGTGTACATGAATATACTTGTTCTCTTAGTCATTTCCTTTGTTCAATCGAACTTGTAAACCCTCTAACTCCCAAGATTGGATTGTTAATTCTCTCCTTTAGCTGCTACACATTTCCTTGTGAGTTGGTTACGAGAATTTGGTGTTGGATCAATGTAGTATCTTATACCTGATAAGAGTTTTCTCACTACCAGTGAGATCAATATAATATCTTGTAACTTATAAGTTTTAGTATTCTCACTACCAATTTGCTGGATGATACAGTGTATATGGATGTTATAATAAGAAGTTACAGTTAATTACTTCTGGGAGTTAAAGGGTAAAGTGAAGAATTTATCTTAATGTTTCTTTTCCTCCCACTTCGATTTTCGTCACTATTTTGTAGGTAGGAGTTGTTTGATGTGTATTTTAATTGCTGAGGTTATTCAATTTTGTTGTTGATGTTTGTTAATGTTTTACAGAGGAGACTGCTTCAGCACAGGCTGGAGCTCTATACAAGCCAATGGCAAAGATATCTGCTACTGTTATGGAAGAGAAAATCAAGACTGAATTGGCAGCTCCCAAAGTGGTGTGTATTCAGTTTTAATTTTATGTATAGTGGTCTAGTGGCTAGCATAACCCTTTCACTCTGAAGATCTCATTAGCAATTCTCCTTACTATCTGCCATATAATTCTTATGATGTTAGTTTGGAGAATTTGGTATTGGATCAACTTAAAATCCCCCTAATCGCTATTTTTGTTAATTCTTATCACCTGTCTGTTTGATATTGCATTGATACGGAAAAGAGAAATTCTCTCTTGGTTACTCATGGGAGTTGAAGTATTGGTTATCTTTGGGCAAGAGACATCTCTCCTCCTTCGAGTGTTAACAGTACTTTAATTGTCAGAGGAATGTTATGTACCATATTGCTTGTTGCATTATGCTACAGTACGTGGAAATGTGCAGTGCAACACATAGGAAACTTTTAGCACTGAATAACAAAGGCAAAAAAGTTGTGCATTTTTTTGTCCCTGTGCACATAAAAATTGTATATGCATGTCTGACCTTCCCTGTCTAGTTAACATATATCTGAGCGGTACTGTACTCTCCACTGGCAATCAAATGTTTTGCATTTTCTGTTCTTTTTTTCAGGAGTCTGTTAAGAAAAAAGGCAAAGAGAAAGAAAAGAAGAAGAGCAATTTAGAACTGTTTAAGGAAGAATTAAAAAGGTAAATAAAGTTATTGTTAAATGTATGTGAGAGTAATTGTATTTATTCTTACAGGCATGTATGCTTTTATGATTTTTTGTCTCTTTTTGTTCAGACAACAGAAGGAAAGGGAGATAAGGCACAAGATCAAGAAGGGTGATCTAGCTGATATTCCCAGAGAGGTCTTAGAAAATATGGCGCCATCTCTTCTTGCACCTTCCAAGGGTATGGACTAATAGTTTTGGGTGATAAAGTATGTAGTTATCAAATTTAGATCAATTCGGAAGTTAAGAAAAAAATTTTAAATTTAACAGGATTGGTTCCATTTATCTTTGGTCTGTGGCTGTCATTGTGAATTTCTCCTTTATATCCAAGACAAAACATGTGACAAGGATCAGAAACAAACAATTTGCTTCCTTCATTCCCAATGAATTACAACCAGTAATTGATTTGTTTATATTTGTAGAGGAAGGTTATTCATATGGATCACATGATACTGGAGACCCCAACACAACAAATCTTTACATCGGAAACATCAATCCAGCAGTAAGTTAATTCTCCATACTTTTCTTTACACATTTCTAAGGTGATGACAGGGAGAAATTGTTTAACAATCAAGGACTTCATTAGTTAGTGATCATTTCCTTATAGTCTCTTGACCCTAGTGAGTGATTCAGGGGTTTAGAGAAATTAGATGCTAATCACTCCTACAGGAGTTAAAGGGTTAAGATATGTTTTTGTGAAGCCATTTTATCATTTCTCGATCAGGACAGGCCTGATTTATATGAAAAAGCAATAATCTTATTAGCATTGTTGCTCATAAAGAGTGTTTTGAAGCTTCATGAAGAACATTGTTAGAGTATGTTACTGAAAAGATAATCCAAAGCTAGAACTGGTCCTAGTTTCAAAAGGTCTGTATGATTCACCCTTAAGCTGTTTCTTCATTTGTTAGATGACAGAGGAGATGTTAATGCGACTGTTTGGCAAGTATGGACCTCTGGCCAGTGTTAAAATCATGTGGCCAAGGACTGAGGAGGAGAAGGCTCGCAACAGAAATTGTGGTTTTGTTGCTTACATGAGGAGAAAGGATGGAGAAAAAGCTCTTAATGCTCTAAAAGGTTAGGTTTTATTGAAAAATATTTAATTTCATAAAGATTTTCTTCATCTTAGAGCTGAAGGTTTTGGGTTTAAAGCAAACATTCAAATTCTTAAAGAACATGTATTCTTGGGAACAATGTATCTTAATAATCATTTCTGATTTAAAACCCACCCACCTCCCCCTCCCCCTCCCATTTCATGCAAAACTACACTCTATAAAGAAAGATGTTTTTTGTCCAGTCACAAGCGTGGGACAAAGAAAAAATTCTGAGTCCCCATGAGGAATCCAATCTCAGACCTTTGGATTCCACACTTAACTGGTATTCTGTTTATATATATGAACCTCATAATAGACCTTGCTCATGTTAGAGTCTCTGTGGCTCAGTGGTAGAGCATTGAAGTGTAGAATCTGAAGGTCTGAGGTTCAAGCTCAAAACTTACCACCTCTCTTATTTTATTTACTGTACTATAAGTTTCTCTGAAATTTTGTCAAGAGATAAGAGATA